AACCCCCTCACTACCATAGGCAGTCAGGGAGCACTGGGGAGTCTAGTCATTGGCCAAGATGATAGAGGGGCGGTTCATACATTGAGCACGCCCAAAGCTAGAAAGATGAATGGATAGGGCTCTAGGGAGTGAGAGTAAAGGCTAGATGATCAAGTTAAGTTGGGGATAATAAAAGTCACTCAATAGGAGGCTGTTTAAATGAACTGTGATGCATCCAAATAGTGAAAAACTATGCAGTCATACAAAAGCATGAGGTGTTTCTTTACATACATATATGGAAAGGGCGCCTAAGTATATTTTTAAGTAGACAAAGTCAGGTGAAAAATAATATGCAGAGTGTGTTACTGCATATAAAAGGCAATGGGGAGTACATATGTATATATAGAGACTCATTTCTTTAATCTAAATACATAAAATGCCCATGGAAGGATTCCTAATCAACACATAACTCAAGGAGGGAGACACTTCATTGTATATACATTTGCATATTTTTAATTTTGAGCAGTGTGGAATTCATTGCCAATATAAAATACATTTTTAAATGAAAGTTTTAACAAGAGCCCTTGACTAAGTAGATAAGGACACTGAGGGAGAGGGCAAAGCTAATGCTGGCATTTAAAATATATATATTTTTACTGATTTCAGAGAGGAAAGGAGAGGCAGAGAAAGAAAGAAACAGCAATGATGAGAATCATTGATCGGCTGCCTACTGGGGATCAAACCTGCAACTCAGGCATATGCACCCAGGACCCTTCAGTCCACAGGCCAATGCTCTATCCACTGAGCCAAACTGGGTAGGGCTAATGCTAGCATTTTGAGTATGGAGTAAGAGAATCACAACAGCCATATTTCCCCGCTGCTTACTATACTGTCATGTATTCCTTTAAGTGCTTTAAAAAATTACTACATTTATTCCTTTCTTGGAACCCTATGAGGTAATTTCTACTATTCTTCTCAAATCATGGACGAGAAAAGGCAAGTACAGAGATTATGATGACGGTAAGTTGCAGAACCAGGGAAGTGAAAAGGAAATGAGGGGTGGGGGAAGAGTCTAGAGGTAATGACATATTCTATTTTAGACATGATGAGATTGAGGTTACAAAAAAATGGCAAAATGATACCTGTATTGATATCAAATACAGGAATCTGGCTCCAGACTTAGGTTATAGATCCTTAATTTAAAGTGTTTAATAACCCCAGAGTTTGGTTTGTTCATATTATACCTATTTTGTATAAGTGTGCAATTAATATCTTTAAGTTTATTATACAAAGTACCTAGCATGTTACATTTAAACCCACCTTCCTGTCCCACTAACATACCTTCCTCTTCTCCAAACACACAAGCACCATTTAAATAAGTTACTTAAAGTAACAAAAATGAAGAGACCCTCCACTTATAAAATATGTAAGAGAAGTCAGGAACTGATCCAATGTGTTTTACTTACATTCTTTGTAATCACAAATTATCATATCATCTTAGAGATGAGAAAACAGAGGCTAGATGATAACGCTGAGTTGGTGATAAGAAATACATCAGAAACCCAACTTCAGATATAAAACCCAAATTGAAAACAGTATTAAATGAAAATCAAAAAGGGAATCAAACAAGGTCTCACATTGTCTTTGATACACTAATGAACATCATGTGACAATGTAATTAGATATGTACACAAAGTACAGGGAACAGTGTATCGGAGGTTCCAGATAATGCAGGGCTACAAAGAGTTTGTTTCTCTTTGAATCAGGGAAGAATAATAGAAATAGCATTTAATTTAAAATTAATAAGGAAGGAAATCTATCAATACTGTTTTAAGAAAAAATCATGAAAGTACGCACATTCTATGATAATTATCAACTGAGCAGACCAGATATGACATACAATTTCTAAGAAATAGCTGAGGAAATAAGGAAGTTTTGATGCACATGCAAAGGACTGTAATAAGACTTGAAGGACAATTGGGGTTTGAATGGGGAGGCAAAAAGAAGGCATTTAAGATGAAAGAAATACAAAATGAGTTTTAAACAAATTTCTCAGTGCCTGACACATAGTACGCCAATACATATTTGCTAAATAAATTATATATTCAAAGGCAATCTTCTCATTATTCATCAACTTAAGTGAGACAATAAACTATAGCCAACTCAAGGCAAGGATAAATATAGAAATGTGTCAAATAATAATAAAGTAAAACCTTGATATAACAGACTAACGAGGAGGGGCCTGTTAAAGCCGAAATCTGTTATATAATAAAGTACGTTTTCCAAATGCATATGCTAACAAATTGACAAATTAGTTTACCAGTTTTGACTTATGTATACGTTTGTATAATTAAAATTAAGTATGCATAAAAAGTTTAATTTCACAGAAAAGTTTTCTATATGCATTATAGTAATTTTAAATTTACACTGAATAGGTCTAATCAATGCCTGGGCCATATCAGGAAGGGTCTTGCTCCAACTGGTTTGCTCAGTGGATAGAGCGTCGGCCTGCAGACTGAAAGGTCCCAAGTTCGATTCTGGTCAAGGGCATGTATCTTGGTTGCAGGCACATCCCCAGTAGAAGGTGTACAGGAGGCAGCTGATTGATGTTTTTAACTCTCTATCCCTCTCTCTTCCTCTATGTAAAAAATCAATAAAATATATTTTTTAAAATTACAGTGAGCCAAAACCGGTTTGGCTCAGAGGTAGAGCATCCGTCTGTGGACTGAAAGGTCCCAGGTTCGATTCCAGTCAAGGGCATGTACATTGGTTGTAGGCACATCCCTGGTAGGGAGTGGGTAGGGGGTGTGCAAGAGGCAGCTGATCGATGTTTCTCTCTCATCGACGTTTCTAGCTCTCTATCCCTTTCTCCTCCTCTCTGTAAAAAATCAATAAAATATATTTTTTAAAAATTACAGTGAATTCACGACAAAAAAAAAAATAACCTGATAATTTAATTATAAGCAAGTCTTGGTTAAAAGTACTTTAAAATTAACCAGGTGTTAATTTTCACATATGACATACAGACCAGAAAATTTGCCCATTAAATTCGAAGTCTGTTAAATCAAGGTATCAAAAACCGAGGTTTACTATACCGCCCCTGCCAGAATGAGAAAGAATAAATGGTGTTCTCCCTCACTGCTAGGCACATGCAACCTAGAGGGATGGAAGATGACTAAGCTTGATGGCTTGATTATTGGAATTCAGTTAGCTATACCAATAAGGGCTTCATTTCAAAAATACATTTACTAGAATGACAGGGTGGGAGGTAGAGGGTGGTAGCAAGCTAGTTCATGTTTTCTCCCAAATTTCTTTCCAATGTATCCTGGAAGTCTAAGCCAGAGGGACCTACAGATCTCCTGAGCTCTGAAAATAGAGCCATGATCTGGCTTGGTTTTCAGATACATGTGTCCCTTTTGCTAAGTTTATATTTCCATTCTTCCTATGCCCTTCAAGCTAACCTGAAGACACTGTTCCCAGTCAGTTCTCTGTGTCACCAAAGATATAAAACCCCTCCCCCCAAAAACAACAATAACAACAACAACAACAAAATCTGAGAACGGGATGAGGTCATCTGTGAGTCACTGGTTTCTGTTGTCCAAATGTCCTGTTGGTTATATCATCCTGTGTAAGTTGCCCAAAGAATGAGGGGAAAGGCAGATTAGTGGCCCTTTCTCTAGGAGGTGCTAAAGTCCAGCGGGAGCAATGTTAAACCCAAAGTAAATAAAGCCGGTGCTCTAACTTCAGCCTGTGGGCAAGCGGATTCCATCTTGGGAGGTCTCCTTTCACCCCATCTGCAAGGTGTTTTACTGATTGGAACGTAGGAATTCTCGCAGCAGGGTTCCAGAGAGAAGAGTCTCAAACGGAGTAAGAAAAGGAAGTGAAACTAAGATATACACGGAATAGCAGGCAGCGTCTGTTACATGCATTATGGCGTTTCGTCTATCCAAACTTCTGTGGAGATAAGATTATTAATCCACATTTTCTAAAGGAGAAAAGCAACGTCCAGGATAATGCAGCAAGGAAGCAGCGATATTAGAGTTTGAAAGCAGTTATGTCTGCTGCCCCAAACCACCCTAGTTTCCAACCCAAACTTCAAGATTCTTCTCTTTGCCTCGTTATGATCAGCCTGAGTGACATCAGACAGGTGCTAAATAATACCAAAGGAAATAAAGGATTGTCCCTTGGGCCATCTGTTTGGACTGATGTTTCCAAAGAATATATTGTATTTCTTTTGTGATTTAATTCCCTCCAAATTCACTGAGTTTTACACACACACACACACACACACACACACACACACACACAGAGTTCTTCCAAGTTAATCACTGCAAGTCGATTTGCTACAGCAATTTGGTTCAATCTCACACCTACAGACAAACCAGCCACCTGAGCCAAGATTTAAAGAGCTAGGTGGGGCAGGGCGTAGGTTTCCACCTCAAATACAGCTCAGCCTCCCTTTAAAGAGAAGGCACACCCAAAGCAGCTCCTCCCCTAGGCTGCCTCCGGGACTTCACAGGCCAGCTCCAAGTCCCCAACAGCCTAAGCTCAAACCTTCACTCACTTCCCCCTTCTCCTTCCTTTTAGAAGCATCTCTGGGTACCTGTGATCGCTCAGGGGGGTAGGGGGGGGGTACGTGAGAGTGCTGTCCTTCTGAACCCTGTCCTCTGGACTCTGGCTGCAACTTTGGCTGGGTTGGGTTAAGTCAAAGACAAACCTCGCTGCTTAAGGAGAAATGAGAGTGCCGAGCCCCGGCCGCCAAAGTTAGACAAAGCCATCCATTCTTGCCCTCTCCCCTTCAATTCTCCCACAAGGCTCCCCAACCTTCCTGTCCCTTCTTTGCTCAGCCCTTTAGCAAAATCATTTTCTCTTGAGTTTCATTCGGTTCCACATAGTCTTTTCCCCAATCCACCTATGCCTTCCCCCTCCCCCCCAAAAACCTAAAGAACAGAAGTGGGGGTGGGGCTGAATCTCGACAGAGGAGATGGGAGTGCGTGGGTTCTAATCCCAGAGTCACTTACCGCCCATGTCACTAGCTGGGGACTCCTGATGTTTCCGGACCTCATACCACCGTCCTCCCCGAGGCTCATACTTCTCAGCTGATCGCAAGACAGCTGTTTCCTTCACACCCGCCCCTGTCTGCCAGCGACTCGCTCTCGCCTGGTCTCGCTGGGCCCCCAGCCTCCCCTCTTCCTCCTGGCTGGAAAGTGGGGAGGAGGGCCAGGGCAGAGGGAGTCAGTCCAGACTCAGCTGGGCCACCCTCGCAACGAGGGAAACAAAGCTCTCCAGCATCCAATCCCAAACCGGGGGGCCAGCAAAGCAGACTTCCTAAAAAGAACCTTACCCCCGCTGCCAATGCAGCTCTCTCCCTGGGCTAAAAATAAAGTGGGTTCGCTGGGTTGAAGTGGCCAAAGCCGAGGATCCTCGGTTCCCCTTTCACCTCCACCAATTCAGTTCCGGCCAAGCCCACTCTCCACCCATCCCCTGCACTCTACAGACCCTGGAGGAGAGGGCTCCGAGGTTGGACCTAAGAAAACGAACCCAGATCCCAAAGCAATACTTGGAGACAAAGTTGAGGCAGGCGGACGAGCAGGCGGACCCGTTCGGGGACAGGAATCTTTACCGCAGCCTTAGCCGCCCCACACCCCAGCGCCTTCCTAAAGAGAAAGAAAGGAGGCGCAGATGCATACAATCGGTGGAAACATATAGAGGCATCCCCAAGCCCAGGGCAGGGGCTTCAGGGAAAAAAGGGCCCCAACTCCCAGGGAGACATTTCTTGGAAGCACCCGGCGGCCCCGCTGGAGAGATCCTGAAGTGCTAGCAGGGCAGCTTGAGTGGGTGGGGTGACTCTGTCTCTCGCTGGTTACACCCAGAAGAGAGGTGTGACCGCTGCGAGGGTGGAGTTCCTTAAAAGGGACAGACAGCCGCCAGAGGAGAGTCAAAAGTGGGAGGAGGTGGAGAAGGGTGTGGCTGAGACCAGGGAGGGAGAAAGAAGGGGGTGGGGTGGGGCGGGGCACTGGGCGGAGAGTCCTGGTCTTGCCCCACCCAGCAGCTTCTCTCAGGCTCCAGCCCCAGCAGGTATACAACTCGAGTCAATTTCAATTCCCTTTTTCCCATCCCATAGAGAGTCTTGCAAGCGCTCTGCCTGGTTACCAGTCCATTCGGATTTAAACTCACTCACAAGGGGAGGGCGAAAGGGATTGGGGATTGGGGTTAGGGGCTCTCTACCAGGAGAGGAATAGGGAAAAGGAAAAAGCAAGGCTGGCAACTGGATTCCCATCCACCCTCCTAGCTCTCCATGGTAACAGGAAGACACTGGCAGGGACAGCGAGGTCACAGTGTCTTCTCAAGGTGGAGACTAAGAGCCGAGGAGAATGGAGCTGGGGGCATTTTGTAGGAAAGAAGGTGAAGGTGAAAGAACGGGTGGGGGAGAAGGAGGAGTTTGAAGAACCGTGGGGCCAGAAAGGCTTTTGTAGTCTTCCAGACACCAGACCTCTAAGAATAGGGTTCTCAACTGCCGGAGACTAACTCTCAGCCAGGCATTGCTAAGATTCCTGTAGAGGGTAATCCATAAAACAGCCACATTTCCAGGATTTCTTTGCCCTCGCCTGAAAGTCGCTCTCTAGGTCATTTCAATAGGAGGTCAGGAAGTCTCAAGCAACCACTGGCCCTTATCAGTGTGGCGTCCCTACCACAATTCTTTTACAGAGGAGGGAAAAGCAGCGAGACAAACAGAGCAGAGGGATGGAGGAAGCAGAGAGACAGGAGAAATAATAGCTCCTGTGCCTTGAGCACCTAATATGGACAAGTCACTGGGCCAGGTGCATTTATCATTTCTTATTCCCGACAATGACCCTGGAAAGCAGGTATTAGTATACTCTTCAAGCCCCCTTTTAAAGGATAAAAGAAGTTCAAAGCTCAGTGTGGTCAGCAATAAGACAGACATGAGCAGAGGATGGATGATGGGCCAGGTACAGAAGATCACCAGAACAGAAAGCCCTAGGGGCCTAGCAATTGTAGGGTGGGGCTTCACCCCCCCCCCCCCCCATGGTGGCCTTTCCCCCACTAGCTTATCATGGGTCCTGGTCCAGCGGTTTGGACCCCCTGACCTTTCCTCCCTAGAGATAACATCTAGGCCTCTGTTGTATTACGGCTCCAGGACCAGAAAAGACGCAAAACCAGGCCAGTAACCCCAGGGCTTACCTCAGGACCAGTTGCATTGGAAAATGATCCTCTCCCCTGGCACCGACCAATATTCATATTCAATCAGTGGAACCTGAAAAGTCACGCCTAGAAAGCTGCTGAATATTCTATTGAGATCTTCCCTCAGGACCTCCCCTAATATCTCCACCCTTAAAACCCTTAGGACAAAGGACCCAGTAAGCTCTCCCTCCCAGGAGCTGCCACACCTTCCCCTTCCCTCTCCCTATCCCCCCAGGCACATTTCTATTAGCTTTCTCAATCTCAAACTCCAAAGGCCCTTCCTTTGCCTCTATAACTTGTTTCTTCAGCCCAATTCTTCTACAAATTACTTCTTCTCTCTTGGTGATGTTCCAAATAAATGTTCTCCTTTAGTTTGAGTCTCGTCTCTGAATTCTTTCTTAGTCAGAACTCAAGTACCGAGTTTGCTGAACCCAAGTCCGATCTGACATCTGGCACCCTTCCCCGCCTACAACACCAGTACTTCCAAACACATATATGCCCATGTGCTTGATCTTTCTGCCTGAATGTATTCTAATCATCTCATCTTCTTACTCTGCCCCTAAAGTTGAAGTTCTCCTCTTATAGTTCCCCAACTACCTGGTTGGAATTATTATGCATGCCAACATCCAAAGCAGAACCCTGGGATTCACCCTCTACCACAGCATTTTCAACCTTTTTCATCTCATGGCACACATAAACTAAGTACTAAAATTCCGCAGCACACCAAAACATATTTTTTTGCCAATCTGACAAATTACCTACCCTTTTTGCTCTGAAGTGACTTTAAAAAAAATCAGGTATCACCCAGCTGGCATTGCTCAGTGGTTGAGCCAAGAGGTCACAGTTCAATTCCCCATCAGGGCATATGACCAGGTTGTCTGCTCAATCCCAGTTGGGGGCATGTAAGAGGCAGCTGATCAACGATTCTCTCTCATCATTGATGTTTCTATCTCTCTCTCTCTCTCTCTCCCTTTCCCATACTCTCTGACATCAATAAAAATACACTGCAAAAAAATTAAAAATCAAGTGCTTATACTTGTATAATAAGGATTTCTAGTACCAAGAGTTAACCAATCAAACACAACCATATTATGCAAGGTGACCAATAAGATGCAACTCTATTATAAATAGCCTATAATTATGGTTCTAGACAGAGCATTCATGCCTACAGTTATTGTTGTGTTGGTTGTCATTTTTTTAATTTGACAGTCTAAAGGAAAAGAAGTCAGTGCCCCTGTCAGGTGATGCTTTTTAAATATAAAAAAATATATATATTTTGCAGCACACCAGTTGAAAATCACTGCTCTAACCTATTGTACTCTGGACTCAGCCTACCTTTGAAGCAGCAAAAATCTTGGAACTTTCTTGAGCTTAATCTGTATTACAAATCCCTGAGAATGCCTGTTTCCATGTTTATTCTTTGGCTCACCTTGCTTCTGTGTTTGAAATGGCTTAAATTCTCTGTTAATCCTTCTTGAAAGAATTAACTCAAAAGATCACCCCCCCCTCCTTATTTAATTCCTTCAGGCAAAACTGACCATTGATTCTTCTGTGCTCTTCTCTACCTCAGAGGACCTATTTGTACATATAATTGCTCCCCCCATTAGACTATACTTAGTCCCTGAGATTAGGCACCAGATGTTATAATTTTTTTTTCTTTTTAAAAAAATATATTTTATTGATTTTTTACAGAGGAAGAGAGAGGGATAGAGAGTTAGAAACATCGATGAGAGAGAATCATTGATCAGCTGCCTCTTGCACACCCCCTACTGAGGATGTGCCCACAACCAAGATAAACGCCCTTGCCCAGAATCAAACCTGGGACCTTTCAGTCCGCAGGCCGATGCTCTATCCACTAAGCCAAACCAGTTTCGGCCAGATGTTATAATTTCTATAACCTGCATGCCAGATAATATTATTAACAATAGTAATAGTTACTGAGCATTAACTATGTGGCAAGCTCTATTCCAAGCCATGTGCATATGTATGTGTGTATGTGTGTGTGTGTGTGTGTGTGTGTGTGTGTGTATACACTGAATTCTTCTGACAACTTTATGGATAGGTATTGTTACTAACCATATTTTACAGATAAGGAGTCTAAGGGACAGAGATTAATATGCATATGTTGAAAGAATTTCCCTCTGGTAGAGGTTCTATAAAGAACTTCCTATATCACTAATTCATATTTTTCTACCATCTGCCCAGCTTATTACGTAAGATGCATTGATACAGAACCACATAGACAGGTGTACAGCTCTCTACATATTCTTTGAAAATAATCACTTTATGCCAGAAAGTTTTACTCTAAAATGTGGGAAGTTCTACTAAACATAGGATTCTCATCACTCCAACCAACACTATTTTCAGCAATACTGGAAAGTTTTCTCTTAGATTCCAGTGTGTGAAAAGACATTGAACTTTTTTGTTTTTAATTTTTATAAATATATTTTATTGATTTCAGAGAGGAAGGGAGGGAGAGAGAGATAGAAACATCAATGATAAGAATTGTTGATGGCTGCCTCCTGCACACCTCCTACTGGGGACTGAGCCCGCATCCTTCACCATGTGCCCTTGACTGAAACCCAGGACCCTTCAATCTGCAGGCTGATGATCTATCCACTAAGCCAAACTGGCTAGGGACATTTTTTTTTGAATTTTTTAAATTACAGTTGACATACAATATTATATTAGTTTCAGGTGTACAGAATAGTGGTTAGACAATTATATTACTTAAAGATACCCCAATATATCTTGTACCCACCTGACATCATGTATAATTATTCCAATATTAGAGGCCCAGTGCGAATTTGTGTACCAGTGGGGTCCCTCAGCCTGGCCTGTGGGAATGGGGCTGAAACTGGCTTTCCGATGTCCCCTGAGGAGTCCCAAATTGTGAGAGGATGCAGGCCAGACTGAGGGACCCCCACAGGTGCACGATGGGGGCAGGGGAGAGACATGAGAGGTTGGCCAGCTGGGGTGTGACCAAGAGAGGGCTCCAGGGCATATCTGACCCTGTTATTCAGTCCCCATTGGCCGAACCCCAGCAGCAAGCTAATCTACCAGTTAGAGCATCTGCCCCCCCCCCCCCCGTGGTAAGTGCACATCATAGCCAGTGGTTGAGCAGCCTTAGCATATAATTAGCATATTACTCTTTGATTGGTTGAATGGATAAATGGACAACTGGACACTTAGCATATTAGGCTTTTATTATATAGGATATAAAAGCCTAAGTGACCAAATGACTGGTGCTATGGCACCCACTGACCAGCAGGGGGCAGGTGCTCAGTGCAGGAGCTGTCCCCTGGTGGTCAGTGTGCTCCCTCAGCAGAAGCACTGCTCAGCTGACTGGCAGGTGCCAGACACAGGGCTCACCGCTGGCGAGTGGCTGTTGTTGCAGTGTGAGGTTCTCCCAATGAGGACTGAGTAGGCATGATCCCACAGCAAGCACAGTGGGGCCCAGGATGAGCAGGAGTAGCAGGCAGGAGTGGCAGGTAGCATTGGACTGCTGGTTTCGGCAAATTCCCACAGGCCACACCAAGGGACACCACTGGTGCATGAATTCGTGCACTGGGTCCCTGGTGTTTATAATAAAGC